GGAGGGAGACGGGGACAGTGCACAGATGTTAGCACAGGGCTGATCTCCTCACAAAAAAAAAAAAAAAAAAAAAATCGATAAAAAACAAAAAAGAAACCCTGAACCCGTCCGCAGTCACTCCCCGTCCTTTGCAATCATTAATCTGCTTTCTGTCTCTACAGATTTGCCTATTCTGGATGTTTCAGAGAAATGGAATCATACACTATGGGGCCTTTTGTGTCTGGCTTCTTTCACTGAGCATCATGTTCTCAAGGTTCATCCATGTTGTAGCATGAATTACTACTTTGTTCCTTTTTATGGGTGAATAATATTCCATTGTGTGGATTGACCACATTTTATTTATCCATTCATCCATCAGTGGACATTTGGGTTGTTTCTACCTTTTGGCTATTGTGAATAGTGCTGCTGTGAACATGGAGGTACAGGTTTTTGTGACGACGAAGGTTTTCAGTCAAAGTGCTTTTTGACAAGCACCTCATTTAATCCTCACAGCAGCCCTACATGTCTATCTGGCATGATCCCCCTTTTGCAGATGAGGAAACCGAGGCTCAGAGGCGAGTCAAGGTCACACTGCTGGAAGTGGCAGAGCTGGGATTCCCCGGCTCCTGGCCACCAGGCTCCCGTGATGCCTACTATGGTGTTTCTGTTCATTTTTAGCAGTCTTGCCGAACCCTGTCCACAGTGCGTTGCTGACTCTTCAAACAAAGGCCATGCAAACCTCAAGCCCCTAAAGCGCTCTGTGATCTGTCAAGGTGAGCGCCAGTCACCTGCTCCGAGGTGATCCTGTGGCCCCAGGGGACGCACCTCAGGGAGTTACAGGAGGTCCCTACCTCCACAGAATGGTCATCCATAGATCCAGGTGGGAGCAGGCATTTCCCCTGCTTCCTCTGGATGCCGTTCTCAGCCACACGACCTCATGGGGCAGCAAGCCCCAAACATTACTGCCCCCTCATTCATCTGCAGCCGCTTTCCTGGGGCCCCGGGCTGCCTTTCATCTCTTGCCTTCTTGGATTTGGCACACAGACCTGTGTTCACCTGCTGGTGAACTTTGCTTCTTTCACCTTCCCTCGGGGTGTAGTGGGCAAGCGTGTGAGTCCTGCCGTCAGAGAAGCCCAGGTTCAAGTCAGCTTTGCCACTCTGGCTGTGTGGCTTCGGGCAAGTTTCTGAACTTCTAGCTTCTGTTTGCTCATCTAGAATGGGGGTCACAATAATATACCTACTGATACGGTGGTTGTGGGATTGACTAAGAGAAGGGAGATGCAGTGCTCTTGCAGTGTCCAGCACCTCGCACACACTTGGGAGGCCACGGCCGGTCCTCACTGCAAAGGCAGGCTGGCAGCAGGCCGGGGAGGCGGCAGGGAGCTTTGTGTGTCTCCCTGCCCCTGGAGCAGCGGGAGGCTCCCGTGACTCAGTTCTTGCTGAGGAGGGGTAAGTCAAGGCCAGGCCTCTGAGGTTGGGGCCCCAAGGGACCTCCCTGTCCTCCTCCCCACTCTGCCCTCTGCCCATCGGCCCAACCAATGCTTCGGGCAAATCTGGGCAGAGCCCGATGCAGTCTCTGCTGGTCACCTGGGCACGGCCCACCCCTTGCCCAGATCTGCAGCATGGACCTGCTGCCCCGTGGCCCAAGGGCTTGGACACTGTCCTTGATGGCGGACCGCCCTGAGTGGGTGCCCCAGCCCTTGGCCTGAGGCAGGAGATGGGAGGACCTCCTCCAGCCGCCCGAGCGGAGCCGTGGGCTCCTGCCAGGGAAACCCTCTCTCCTGGCCACTGCTGCTCAGCCTTTCCCAGCCCTGGCCCTCTCCTCCTGCTTCTCACATTTCAGCTTCTGAGTTACTGGCACTGCTGCGTGCTGCTGCTGCTGCTGAGGCCACTGTACCAGACAGACGTTAACCCCCCATGTGCTGGTGGCGGCAGCAGCACAGCTGGAAATGGGCTCAGGGTTCAGAGGTGCAGAAGGAGGAGAGAGCCATCCTGAAACCAATCCCTTTGCTCTGGCTGGTTCCCCTTTGGAGAGCTTATCTCCCCTCCTTCTTCACTGTCTGCCCAGACATGAAGCCAGAGCCTCCCCGACCCCTAGGAGTTGTTCCTTCCTTTGGCTCTCTGAGCACCAACAGTCAACCACAGCACGTGTGTTCTGTTTCACCATGTCCTGACCTTGCCCTTTCACGAAGACCAGGTTTTCTCCCTCCATATCCTTCACCCCACCCAAGTGGGCTCCCCTCTTGCACCTGGACTTACCTGGCCAGGGCTGGGCCGCCAGTACCAGGTGAGCTCTGGAGTCCCGAGGTCAGCCTGGAAGCCGTCCTGCGGGGCAGCAGCAC